TATGGAGTGCAAAAATGTACAGAAAATTAGTTTACAGGATACAAAATTTCATTTGTTAGTTCGGTAGCAAGCCTTAAAATAAAATAATAAGTGTAAAAAAAACATTCGATCGGTTACAAAGGATATAATGAAATGGCCAAGCCGTAAGTCAGCACAAAGCGATATATCAAAGAAGAGTACAACCATATTCATGGGATATTGACTGGGAAAGCACCGATAAGTCATGCTCACTAACGGCATCAATGGTGGGTGAGACGCTTACTAGTCTATCAGGGGAATATTTTGCTATCTTGTTATCGGGCTTTTTAAAGCCACTGGCTTTACCTTGTCGTAGCCGTGGTTCGGAAGCGGCGAGCTTCAGTGCTGCATCATATAGCCTATCCTCTAATGAGTGGAGTGGAGAGCTCTGGCCGTCTAAGACAATACCCATGGATTGCCTAGTCCTCGTTCTGCGGATGATTATTTCGGATGCATTTACTAATTCTTCCTTGGTCTTTAATTTGCTGCGCAGCCTTTTGCTGATGGGTGGCGATGATAGAGGTCTTTCCTCTAGGCTGTCTATCGTCTTCATAGGATAGTGGCCATTAACCTCATTCATTGCTGCTTTTGCTCTGCACCTAAAAAAAGAGTAAGGGCTGATTTGTGTTACTTTTTTTTTCTTAGTTCATCTCTCCTATTTACGCCTTTTACCCGAGAGGGCATGCTAGGTTGTGGGCAAGTTTTTGAAGCAAAACGAACAGCGCGGGATAAATTCCAACACAAAGGTCGGTTCGAATGAATATTTTTAAAAATAAGTAGGTACGAGTGGTTTGATGATTGTGGAGTGCCTGAAATTTTTAAAGAGCTTGAATTGTTTTGTAGAAGAGTTGGACGGGCTCGGGCGAGGCAAGTTTCGTTGCCAGGAGTTGAATCTATTCCAAATATTACATATCCGTGAGATATATATAATTAAAATGTCAAAAATGGTTATGATATTTTTCTATTTCAGATTATAGACGATTTTTGGTTAGAAATAGAGCGAACATCGGACCAAAGTTATTTCTAATTTCTGGCGGAGTAGCATCCTTTTCATTTAGACTGTTCATAAAGAAGTAAATGGGAACCAGATTTGGTTATATGCTTACTAAATAAAGACCTTCCAAAATAGAGTATGAGTAGGCCAATGATTTATTGGTGCTAAAAACAAATACATTGTGTCTAGGGCGGCAGCTTAGAAAATTAGAATATAAACAAAATTAAATTGTCAGGGGGACTTTCATTTCGTACGAAAGTGAATGAAGAACAGATTCGTTGGTCGATCCTAACAAATGAGGACGGATAAATCTTGTTATACTGCAGTTGTTTGGCTTTTATACGATACGTTGACGCACTCCACAAGACTTCCTCTCTCGTTTCGGGCGCAAAAGTGCTGAACATTTAAATAAACTAGCATTTTTTTAACATAGCTTGACTTATCCATAGAGCAGTGGATAAGTCAAGTTATGTAGAAAAAATGCTAGTTCATTTAA